GGGGGGGGGAGGGGGTTGCTCACTTCTCCCATTTAAATCGGAATCTGAACTTGTTAGCACCTACAAGTGTAGGGTAGTTTGCCATGGCTACTGTAGCACTCCCACTTGGGGATTTTGGCTACTTCTCTCTTTCTGAATCTTAATCAGAATCGAAATTGAAATTCTAACAATAGCAATGAATTTCACGTAATCAAGCAGTTACAACGCATAACAAAAATTTATTATTTTTTTATTTTGAATCTGAACCGAAGGTATGAGCAGTACAAGTAATTGTACACAAGCAAATAATTGCATATAAGTAAATAATCGCAACATATCATATAATTTTATCATTTTTTGTCATGGTAATTTAAAATATATGTATACATGTAATTTATTATGAAAAGTAATGCAAGCAATCATATAATTTAAGATGCACATTATAATTTATCCCTTAACTTAGGGAAAAAACCTCAACTCACCTCGAAACAATTTCACAAGTCTTCTCACAACAACCTCGCATAGCCAACTCTTTAGAATCTACAATTTAAGTAGTTGAACCCGTTAACCCAAATTATTCATTCAACCCAATTCCTTCATCAAAATCTCATTAGTTATTTAGGGATTATGATTGCTTCTAAATTTAAACTCTATCAATTGTACAATATATAGTTATAAGGTGTTGTAAAGATTTCAATTTAAATAGTAAAAGTAAACGAAAATACCTTCTTGAAGAAAGACTTATTCTTCACTTCTTGAGTTCTTGAAGATGATCTAAGGATTTTAAGATGAAATCTCGTTAGAATTTACATCGTGGAGTATAACCTAAATCGTATTAAAAACTCACCTTGAGCATTGGGGGAATGATCTTGAATTAGTATCTCCTTGAAAGGAATAAACCCTAGCTGTTTTGGGGTATTAAGAATAAGAAAGTCATGTTCCTGAAGACTTTTGTAGGCCTGGCATAATAGGCTGCCACGGTTGGAATTAGTGGCCGCGATTGGCCTGGTACCTCAGGCCTTCGTTGGATACCATATTCTATAATTTTCTGCGGTTCTCTATTATATCTGAATTTGTTCGTTATGATTGTTGGCTCGCATAGCGATTTGGTGTTAGGTTCCATCATGAATTTGGTGAAAATTTAGGTCGTCATATTTCCGTGCAGTGTATAAATATATGTGTAAAAAATCATTAAAATTGTAAATAAAAAAAAAAACTCCTTCCATATATTTCCTTTTCAATCCGTTTCAAAAAGAATGATAACTTTCTAAATTTAAAAATAATTTAATTTAAATTTACTATTTTACCGTTAATGAGAAGCTTTTATGGCCATATAAATATCTATGACTTATTTTTTTACCACAAGTTTTAAAAGTTTTATTATTCTTAAACTTTGTGCCAATTCAAACTTTATCACATAAAGTGAAACATAGGGAGTTATAATTTTGAACATATAATTTCAAAAGTGTAATGAGTTCATGGTGAGACTTAAAGGCTAAATCCGTCAAATATAAATTTTGAATCCATCTCTTTATAATAATGCACCCATTTTCTTGAAATCCTAAATACGCCTTTGTCTGATATCATAATCTTTAACAACCGGAGTATTATGATTTTCTTTTTTTGGGTTTCCTTTAAGTATTCGGCATCAAAGTTCACTAGCTTAATTAATTCGGATTCTACTAGGAAGGTCTACTAAAAGAAAAGTAAAGCACCTTATTCTAAAAATTACTATTCTCAAGGATCCAACTCGAAATTTCTCATTTACTGTAAGCGAGCGGATTCCTGCCATCCTAGTAGATGTCACAATGATCATTGTATTATTTTTGCATCATATAACAATACATATATTATTATTTGCCACACAACAATCTTTATAATTAATGAACCAAACAAACCCCTATATTAAAAAAAAAGGTGAAAGAAGTGAAAGTTTTGTTTTCTAATATTAAATTCTTTAATAATCCACAAATCAACATGTGCCGCACGCGTCCTTAACAAATTCAGAAACCAATTGACAATAGCACTTGTCCTTTGTAACCTGGAAATAAATGAGAACAATGCATTTTATTTTCGATCATCTAAATTAAAACGGAGAAGAAAAGTTTTCAATCACACAATCCCCTTGTAATTATTAAACAATTCATAAATTTTAACAACCTATTAAAACTTTTTTTGGGTAAACAATATCGGATAAGAGACGGTCTCAGAGTATATAATTGACTTTGATTTTTTCCCCTAAACGAACTTGTGTAAAATATTCATAGACATCCCTCTAAAGAAGGCATATTAAAAAATCCCTATTTTTCTCCGCGGGCGGCGCTTGGGCACCTCCCTTCCCTATAAGTGTTATTCTCTTTGCTTTCTGTCACCGCACACAACTAACAACCCAACTTGTCTAAATTCCCATTAAACAATAGGAGGAGTAGTTAACACATAAAAAGTCATTTGGAATTTCAATCATAAATGCAAATGTTTGAAGATGCTGTATGAGAGTCAAGAGATGCGAATGAGAATGGAAGTTGGAAAACAACAACCGTTTGAAAGGAAGAGTAGGAGAACAACAAGTAGAAGAAGTACGATAACTATCGTAGAAGAAGTAGATGAAGAAGAAGAAAGGCTTGAGATTGTGGATCTAAGTGGAATGTCTATGGAGTCTCTTCCCGTCAATCCATCAATCAATTTGGGAGCTATCTGCAAATTGGACCTCTCCAAAAATAATCTTCAGGTTAGTCTGAAAATATTATTTACATGTGTTTGGTGCTGTGAAAATGATTTTTTGAAAATATTCTCTCTCAGATATTTTTTTTAATAATTTTGTGGAAAGTGAAAATTATTTGATTTGGATTTTTTCTTAAATTAAAGATTGATAATATGTTAGCAAATGGGAGAGCGATTTGATGCATTTCTTGAGTAAATATGATAGTTCTAACTTCTAAGTATCTCTAGTGATGAGATAATTGTAAAAGAAAAAATTTCCACCGAATAAGTGAAGTCTAAACTTTTTTTTTCCTATAAACAAAGTGACGTCTAAATTTTTTTTCCCTGATAAATAAATACTAAAGGATGACTTATTTTCTGAAAAATATTTCTCCATACTAAACACGCCCCTTGTATCTTCCATTTTCAATTGCTTTTGGTTCCTTTTTTCTGCATGTGTTTGATTATGTTAAATTTCTTCAGTTTTTATGAGAAGAAAATAGTTATTTTTGCCTTTGTCCATTTTATATAACGAGATTACAATGAATTAGAAAGTCAACAAATAATTTTCTTTTATTAAATTGTGAATTATAAGCAATTCCGATTAATCATACTTTTAATTTGTGTATCTTTTTAAGTATGTAGTTAACGTTTGTATTGCGGAAAAAAAATAAAACCAAGGTATATTCGAAGTTCAAATGTTTTTAACTTTGATACCGTAAAATAACCGGAAAATGGCCAAAAATATCCTTGAACTATTTGAAATAGTTCAAAAATATCCTCCGTTTATTTTTGGTGCCAAAAATATCTCTGCCGTCTATGGTTTGGACCACAAATGCCCCTAAACCGTTAGTCTTGCCATTGGAGCTGACATGGTAGTCCAACTAGGTTAGATTTGCTTACATGTCCATCCATCTAAGCAATCCAGCATGACAAAATTATTTTTTCGAAAAAATTATTTTTCCGATTTTTTTTATTAAAATACAAAATCAACATTTATTCCCAAAAAAGTAAAAAATATTCAGAAAAATAATTTATTTTGAATTTTTTTTATTAAAATACAAAATAAACACTTATTCCGAAAAATAGTAAAAAAAATTTCAGAAAAATTATTTATTTATTAAAATATTATATATAACATACAAAATAAATTATTTTGGAGCGTGCTTTAATATATTGTTCCAGAATTTTTTTACTTTTTTCGGAATAAGTGTTCGACCGTGAAAATTTTAAATTTCACTTAAAGTTAAATTTCAGAATTTTTGAAAATTAGAAAACTCCAAAAATTATAAGAACTTCGGATGAACCAATTGATACTTACAGTAGAGGTGTGCCTTTTGTGAAGCTATAACTGATAAGTATCTAAAAATTTAGATCAAGTTAATCATAAATTCACAAAAGAAAACAATGGAGTTTTTTTAATCAAATCATAAAGCCCAATCAAGAATAATTTTTTCGGAATTTTTTTTACTATTTTTGGAATAAGTGTTGATTTTGTATGTTAATAAAAAAATTCTGAAATAAATAGTTTTTCTGAATATTTTTTACTTTTTTCGAAATAAATGTTGATTTTGTATTTTAATAAAAAATTTCGGAAAATAGTTTTTCCGAAAAATTAGTTTTGCCATGCTAGATTGCTTAGGTGGATGACCATGTAAGCAAATCTAACCTAGTTGGACTGCCATGTCAGCTCCAATGGCAAGACTAACGGTTTAGGGGCATTTGTGGTCCAAAATATAGACGGCAGAGATATTTTTGGCACAAAAAACAAACAGAGAATATTTTTAAGCTATTTCGAATAGTTCAAGGACATTTTTGGCCCTTTTCCGTAAAATAAAATATAGAGCAAAAGACATTCAATGCTCACCTTGACCAATTTGTAGCGGAAGCTATCAATAACGTAATAATCACTTAAGGGAGGTTTGTAACCGAAAATTAGATAATATTACCACGGTGTATTTGGTTTCGAAACTTTCAAATCGACTAAATATTACTCCCTATGTTTCAATTTAGATGATACATTTCCCTTATCGAGAGTCAATTTGCCTAATTTTGAAGCTAAATTGAATTAGTTCAACTCAATATTTTAAAATTTAAATTTAAATATTTAATAACTATATAAAAAGTACTATAAGTTGTAATTTTTCTCATGTCAATATAAGAAAAAATATTTTAAAATGTTGGTCAAACTTCACACAGTAGCGAAATATGTCATTTAAATTGAAACGGAGGGAGCAGTAACTTCTAGAAAATATAAAATTGGTATGTTAGTATAATTTTTTAATATAAATTTTCATTTTAATTTGATTCGCAATTTTTGTTTTAATTAAAATCGCTCAAAAACTTCTCCGATCTGAATTGATCAAATTAAATCTTTTAGCTTTAATATTTATCTTTTACTAAAATGACGTTTTAACTATATAAAACCTGGATTGCTTTTCCAATTTATCCGTATTAAGAATTCAATGATATTTGTTCAACTTTTGATTATTAATCTAGGTTTAGTTTATTCATATTTCTAAGTATTTATTTTCAATAAGAAAATAAATCAGAAAATTAAGCTTAAATATTATCTGATTGTGACTAATTAATTACTATTGTATTGTTTAATTTTTGGTAGAGTATACCAGAATCTATAACAGCCAGACTGCTCAACTTGGTGGAGTTAGATATGCATTCAAATGAGCTCAAGTCCATTCCCAACTCTATAGGCTGTCTCTCAAAGCTCAAACTTCTCAATGTTTCTGGAAATCTCCTTCTGTCGCTCCCTAAGACTATTGAGAATTGCAGGTTAGTTATATAACAACATTATCTTTTGAGTTTCCCCATCCATTCCAATTTATGTGATAAAGATTGATTAGGAACGAAGTTTAAAAATGAAAAAAAGATTTTTGATATTTCTGAATTTCCGTGGCTATAAACATTAAAGATAAAATGGGAAGTTAAAGATTAAATTGCTATTAAATATAAAAAATATTTTTTATTTTTTGGATTATCTAAAAATAAGAGTAACATATTAATTGAGACTTGATGGAGTATCATATTTACGTGTTTTTCGAGTCATCATGCAATGTTTCATTAACTATGGTTGAAGTAACTAGCTAGGTGCTAAATATGACAGCTTATATATGCGAGTCTAATGTGTTGTTTCTATCAGTGTGGTTTTTTTAATATTATCAATGTGCTTTATGTTTATCTCATGAAGAGTCTTAAATTATTTTATGAATTTATTCCAACAAATAATTTATCGCTGGTGCCATAGGCAAAATACTATATACTCGTGACCTAATATTTTCTTCTTC